AGAAAGGGAATAGAGATTAAGAGGGATATCAGAAGATGAAACTGTGTAAAAAATGTATAAAAATGAATAACGTTCCATGGAAGAGATTGAAAAACGGATGAAAAAATAACCGACCCATCTTGGAGGAAATATTGCTCAATGCACTCCAAAATGCTCAAAAATTTTGCCTGCGGCGCAGAAAATGGATTATATTGGAGGATTTATGGCTTCAAAGCCTTCCAAGATTCAAAAATCATCGCACAAACGCTCGATATTTAAAACTAGATGTCCTGGTACGAGTACAAGGTACGAGGCCAAATATAGGGGTGGTACGAGGTTCGAGTACGAGCAAAAAAATGGGGGTGGTACGAGGTACGAGTACGAGTACGAGGCCAAAAAAAAGAGGTGGTACGAAGTACGAGTACGAGTACGAGCAAATTTGAAATTTCGAAGCACTGGATGACACTCTCTACTACGTCACTCTTTAAGTGTCACATAGGATCAGTAATGGAAAACTTCCAGTAAAAAACTGTTCTATAAAATTGAAAAAGATTTTTAAAATTAAAACAATAATTAAATAAGACGTGGAATATAGTGGAAAATCGTAGGTGTGTTAAATTGTTCTTTCATTTTATAAAAATTGTAAATTAATTTGATAATTTAACTCTTGCTTCCTGTCTGTTTAATATAATTTAATAATTATTTTGAACCAAAGTTTGGCTTAATTAAATTCTTAAAGTTTAAGCTAAAAGAATCAAACGTCAATTTATTTAATAAAATATCAAGCTTCAAATTAATGACCGGAAAATTTAGAGACAATCGCGGAATCAAAGACAAATCCTTTAAAAAATCAAGAGAAATCTTTAAAATCCTCCCTTCATTTTGGTTGTAATTGATTTTGAACAGGATGAACAGTTGTAACTGCTTGAACCTTTATAACAATACTCGAGGTAGGGTATATTGACGGTATCTTTCGGAAGAACTTTAAAATCCAAGCAAATTCTTTGTTCAGAGCATGCCGATATTCAGAGCTGTAATTTTAAAAGATAGAAAATCTAATTGAGAAAATACGGTATTTTTAAAGGGACAATAAAGGGACTTCTCAAACATATCCTTCTTACAGTTAGCAACCACGACCTTTCGGTCTGGTGCATCTTCGGAGCGCCGGTATTTAGGGGTGGAGGAGGATTTGGAAGTTGGTCAAAAGGGGAGGGCGCAGAGGACTAAACTCATTTTCCTATTTTCCCTAAATTAATCAACTGGAAAATTGGAAGAAAAATATTTATTTAATTAAAATTAAAATGTCCAAACAATATAAATTAAATTAAAACCAATGAAATGATTAATTCCAAAAATACATGGCAAAATATATTTAAAGCGAAAAGCCATTTAAAAATACAAAACGGAAAAATATATTTAAAAATAATTATTCCTTCATCGATCCATCAAAGTCCAAACGCCTTTAACCACAACTCTTCAATTAACAACCACTTCAACAACTGAAGAGTTGTTGGTTTTTGTTGAACGAATAAAGGGGGAGGAGTTTTAATAAAAATAAAAATACAAAAATGGATATGTGTGGGGAGGAGAGAAAGAATAAATTGAGAGCTTGGGAAAAAGGATAAATGTGTATTTGAGTCCGGGGTAGATTTGGATATGAACATGTCGAGAATTGGTGTGTATCGAGTCTTTGGGCCGGGTCCGTTACATCTCCCAACCTCTAATAAGCGCGACCCTGCGCTTAAAAGAGTGTTTGACGAGATTTACTTGTAGGGGAGATAAGGAAGGCGTGAGGGGGGACAGGACAGAGAACGGGGGTTTACAAATGGTGACACAAACTTAATTGGTCCCCGTTTGTTTGAAAATTAGGGCAAAGCGCTGTACTCGATCAGATGGTTACCAATTCTTTTTTGGGCCATCTGAAAGACCTTACTCACAGGGGTTGAGGGGGGAAGGGTTTAAGGGGGGATTTGGTAAAGGGGGGGATGGTGGTGGAAGGGGGGTTGTGTAGAAGGGGGGATGGTGTAGAAGGGGGGATGGTGTAGAAGCGGGTTGAAAAGTTTATAGAGTTTTTACTCTCTACTAACTTTTCAAGGGTTAAAGGGGTGAGGGGGGTTTAGTGGGATGGTGGAGGGGGGACTTGATACCATTTTTTCTCGACATTGTCCCATTGCCAATATGCATTATTAAAGAATTTAATATTTGAAAAATTTTGGGGATATTGTGAAGTAGAGGGGGTATTATAATTACTGTAAAAATTTGATGAAATATTAGGTTGGGGAGAAAATTGAGAGAAATTAAATTGATGTGGTGGAAATTTAGATTGAACAAAATTTGGGGGATTAAAAGATTGAGGCATATTAAATTGTGGAGAAGATAAAGAGGAAACATAAGATTTATTATCGAAAAGAGAAATGGGGGGATTTATAATTGGATTTACGCTTTTCAATTGAGGTGGTTGATTGTGTTGTCGCATATGTGGATTGGAAGAGGCAGAAGGCATGTAGGGTCGTTTTGGTGGTGGCATTGTTGGTTCATGGACAGGTTTGGGTTGTTGGTGTTGGAATTGTTGTTTGTTTTTGAATTGAGGCAGAGGAGGTTGTTGTTGTTTTTGGGTTGGGTGTTGTTTCGGTTGTGGGTCAGGAGTAGGTTTGTTTGTTGTTGGAGTCGGGCCAGTAGTCGGTTTTGGTGTAGGGCCAGTTGTCGAGGTTGGTTGAGTGCCAGGAGTCGGTTTGTGTTGTGGGCCAGTAGACGAGGTTGGTTGAGTTCCAGGAGGTGTGGTCTGACTAAATAAAAAAGAATTATTAATTATAGGTGTAAATTTAGAGGCATTATCGATAAATTTCCTCCAAGAGTCGCATTTTCGCAGTGTTTCAAAGTCTCCAATTAAGCAAAATGCCTGCCTTGAGCGTGAAATGGCGACTGCGACTCTTTGTGGGTTATTTATAAAGGCAAGGGAGGTTTTATAGTCATTTAAGTTTTCCGGCATCTTTTTGGTCGTCACTAAAATGACTATTTCCTCCTCTCTGGCCTGAAAAGCATCCACAGTGATACAAGAAGTACGGGAAAGGTTAAAATTTCTAATCTCATCAACTTGTTTCTTATAAAGGCAAAGGATTACTATTCTTAAATCAGTGGTTTCCAGGAATTTCTCTGTTATTGTGCGTGCTATCTGTGCTTGTGAAGTGTTAAACCGAGAGAAGGATCGACTATCTCGTTCGTCTTTCTCTGGTGTATCAACTAAGAGGATTGGAATGTTTTTAACCGGGAAGGGGAAAGAAAGTGCTTGGGATCTTTGCTCTTCTATGATTCCGGGGATTAGCTCTGATTCGTAGAAAGTATCGGCTACTATTTTGGTTATTGCTGGGTGGGATCTATAGGATTTTACTACCTGAACTTTGGGAATTGAGGGGATTGAAAGGGCGTGGGAGATGATTGAGTCAAAACCAAGAGGATGTAGGAATTTTGGTACGTTTTCTTTATAAACACCGAGTTGTTTGTGATCCCCAGTGATAAATATCTTCTCAAGGTGGGTTGCGTAGGTTAGTATGTGAATAATTTGGTTAATTGGTGTTTGGCTGGATTCATCTAGGAAAAGATGGGTTGTGTCAGCGATTAGTGCGGGAATGTCTTCACACATTGAAACGGTTGATAATTTGGTTGAGGGTTTATTGTCTGTTTCCAAAACGATCATGGCTGTGGATTTCTCATCAGCCATTTTCGGTTTTGTGAATGCTTTTTCCTTATATCTGAGGGCAGTTCTCTTGTCCTTGTTACCTAGGGATTCTATTTCGATTTCTTTAAGAGAGGCGATCAGTAAGTGCTCCTTAAAGTCTTCGAAAAGATCCATATATTGTTCTTTTGCACGGGCGGAAAGGAGGATAAGTGCGGTTTTGTTAATTTTACTTAGTTCGGGACAAATGTATTCAACGATCTTGCTCATCGCTAAGTTGCTGTGTGCAATGATCATTGGAGTCTTTCCATTTTTCATGAGCTCAAGTGCCATCATAGAAACAATTCTGGACTTACCGGTACCGGGAGGTGCTAATGTGACTATGACTGAGGGGGTTGGGTTGAGTGTTAGATCTATTGCCTGTAATTGTTCGTTATTTGGGGGATTCTCATCACATGCGAACATAGCATAACATAGATCGCGTGTGTTTTTAAGAGGTGGGTTTGGATCTAGACCTAGTATTTGTTTCATTAATATGGACTGTGGGGTTTCATATTCGGAAAGAACTAAAGGTAAACAGGAGGACCAGGTGTCTGAACGATATATTAATTGGTTAGGTGAATAAGGTATCTGGAGGTACGCATTTGATCCATCAAGATTGTATTCTCGGTCATCTTGATAGGATAATGGTTTGAAGTGGATTATTATTTTTAGTTGGAAAGAATTGTCTTCGGATATAATGTTAATAATTGTTCCATAAGCAATTGGGTTGTTGGGTTCGTAACTGGATAGAGCCATTATGGGGGAGTCTTTTTCCCAAATATTTGTAAAGGTTACCAGGTCTTTCAAATTTTTGGGTTTGTGGTAAACGGTAAAAATGTTGTAGTTTTTCGGGTGGGAATTTAGTGTGGTGTATATTCTAGTGGAGGTGTGTATTTCGTTCTGTGAATATGTGAGTGCTTTTAGTGCCGCTCCAATTGCTTTGTGAGTGTTAATTTGAACTGTTTTGTTAGTATCTAAATTAAATGGAAATACGTACGGTGAGGGACTGGTGACTGAGATGCAAAAGCTCGTCGCCGGTCCTGCTCTCTTGATGGTGGTGTTGGAGGCGGGGCGGACTATAAATGATTGAGGGAGTGTATATTCTTCATAGATAATGGATCCAACAGGAAGAGGTTTGCACACAATTCCAATTTGCGATCCAATTTTATACTCATGATTGGGTGGGAGGGGGACGAGGTTGGGAATGAGGGAAGAGTCAGACATAACTAGGGCCATTTCACAGACAGGATTCCCTACTTCAGTCATTAATTGCTTAATACTGAGTATGAATCCTTGTCCGTTGTGAATGGGGAATTGGGGGCCTGCTAAAGTTGGATTAATACCTAAGTGGTGGACGACGGGGGGAAGGGCGGGTTGTTCCGAGAGTTCATTTTCGGTCAAAGGGCGGAAGGTTTTAAATCTAATAGTATCCCCTACATTTAAATCAAGTGAGTGGGAACTATCTAACTCTAAAAACTCTGGCCAAGCTACGGACTTAACTCCACGTGAAATTTTTGCTGCTATAATTTTTGGGAAGGTTCGGGATACAAAATACTTATTAATTTCCATGCCTGTAATTGGACGTTGGGCTCGGGGGAGGCGGGGTTGTGTAGGAATGGGGTAGATTAATAGAATCTGGAAAGAAATTAAAATTTAATTGGATTAAAATTTATTTTTAAAAAAAATTGAGCGAGGAGGGAAAGTGGAAGAGGTGGGGAGAGATGAAGAGGGGGGAGAGTGTAGGAGGAAGGAGAGGTGGGTGGAGGGAGAGGTGGGTGGGTAGCCAAAACCTTGAGGGGGACGCCATCCGGTGCTACCAGTTAGCAACCACGACCTTTCGGTCTGGTGCATCTTCGGAGCGCCGGTATTTAGGGGTGGAGGAGGATTTGGAAGTTGGTCAAAAGGGGAGGGCGCAGAGGACTAAACTCATTTTCCTATTTTCCCTAAATTAATCAACTGGAAAATTGGAAGAAAAATATTTATTTAATTAAAATTAAAATGTCCAAACAATATAAATTAAATTAAAACCAATGAAATGATTAATTCCAAAAATACATGGCAAAATATATTTAAAGCGAAAAGCCATTTAAAAATACAAAACGGAAAAATATATTTAAAAATAATTATTCCTTCATCGATCCATCAAAGTCCAAACGCCTTTAACCACAACTCTTCAATTAACAACCACTTCAACAACTGAAGAGTTGTTGGTTTTTGTTGAACGAATAAAGGGGGAGGAGTTTTAATAAAAATAAAAATACAAAAATGGATATGTGTGGGGAGGAGAGAAAGAATAAATTGAGAGCTTGGGAAAAAGGATAAATGTGTATTTGAGTCCGGGGTAGATTTGGATATGAACATGTCGAGAATTGGTGTGTATCGAGTCTTTGGGCCGGGTCCGTTACATTACTTATACATACATACCCTTCGCTTAAAAATGTTGTCTGCAAGAAAGTCCAAAAAAGCCGATTATATGTATGTATTGATAAAGGAAAATGGACCAATTTTGAATTTCTTTTAAATAATTTATATTTACCTGCAAAAATACAAAACTGGTGCATTTATTGCACCCGAGATCGGTATTAACTGAGCAAATAGACGAACATAAAATAATATCATTTCTGGATCATTTGTTATTAACGGAATAATAAATTTAGTGAAACACACTCCATTTAAATTCAAGAAAACTATGACAAATAATATTATAATAAGTGATCTGTAGATCCGCTTGGTTTGAAGTTGTTGAATGTTTGATTCTCCGTTTTGATATACTGAAACATTAAATCATAAAACAGTATAAATTAATTATTAGGATATCCTTATCTAGCCACTAGGAATGCCCGTTCCAAATTTTAGGTTTGGATAAAGATCGCGGATCGTGATATACGAAACCAGTGATCATCACTAGGGAGCGGATTTTTATTGAAATAAATCACTGAAGCGACCTTGGTTATGAACAAGCCTTTACTGACCAGTGTCTGACCATTTAATTCGAGTAGAAGAAAGGCATAAATGACCAGTGATAGATGTGATGAAAAATTGGACAGACAGTGGTCAGTTCGCGGGCAGGGTCGCTTCAGTGATTTATTTCAATAAAAATCCGCTCCCTAATCATCACATGTCATGAATCTGAATGGTCTGTCTAGTAGTCTCATTATAACTTTACATGCAAAATTATTATATTCCGAGTTTCGTATTCATGGCGAAGCGGATCCGATTGAATTTGCAGGATTACGGCCCGGAAATAAATGGACTTGCAACCGATTATGTTGATAGCAACATAAAAATTTAAATTAAACATACATTTTATAATAATTCCAACAACGATATAATTAATAATAGTAACGAAAGTAACCAAAGTTAACTCGTAATAAGCAAAACTACGTATATCGCCTCCAATTTGTTCTGGGACATTGCAGTAAACTTTACTAAAGGGTAATTTTAAGTTAAAAGATTTCCCTTTAATAACATACATATCCGGGTTTTCAAGAGCATAGTTAAAACCAAAAATCATAATAATAAAGCAATATGTTAGAGAAAGTGTATTAAGAACCATTACGTATTTAACGGCCCCTTTCTTTAGAACAAAGCGGTAACTTAAATTAAAGTATTAATTTTACTTTAAAAGATTCAATTAGGAAAGAAAATTATGCCTTGGAGATGAAAATGAGGTATTACAATGCAGTGGTCAACCAAGGGGATATTGGTTAACCTAATTATTTTCATATTTCACTGTCCATCTTTCACATTTACACTTCGGTATTTTTCCTTTATTCTTCACATGACCATGTTCAAGCTCTTCAAGAAAGTACCGAGCTCGATGTCGCTCAATCATAGTTACACAAATCATTTTATTGTTAAATATTTTAGTTGCTTATTTTATTAAAAACTTAAGAAAAGTTAAGGAAAAAGAGATAAAATAAAGCTCAAAATTTTCAGTGAACTAAAAAGGAAAATGAGGGAGTACTACTAACCTAATTCCTAAAATTTTTAAAGACTTACAATAATGGAAAAAGTAGAGCAACAATACGATCCACGCTAATGAAAAACATATTGAGGTTGGAATTTATGCTTGTGACTATATTTTGCCAGCTGGTAGCAAAAGAACAATAGGTTATAGGAATTTTTGTGTGCATTATCACTAGAATTGTCGGCAAAAATGATCCAGACTCGAGAATTGCGTCACATAGACAATTAATAGAAAGAAAAAGTCCATAGCTTGTTTGGAGATTTCTGGAATTTATTATAAGAATATAGTCGTTTGTTCCACAAATTGAAAAAAATCCGGTTCTATTCGAATCAGTTTTAGTTTTGGTCATATGACTCAGCTTAATCATTTGAATGACCTGTCATTTGTATATTCGAAATTTTCAACCAAAATCAAGTCACCCCTTGTGATTTTTCGAATTGCAAGGACCATATACATACTCTTGGTCCACAGCCAAGGAGCATTAGTGGTACCATTCGACACAGCTTGATAATGTTAGTCGAATAGAGGTGGATTTTCAAAGTTTGGTGTAAGTACTCAGAAAAGTTAAAAAATTAAAAGACTTGTGTTTGAAAGTCACCCATACGACTGTCAAATTAAGAATAATGCCAACAATGGAAATTGACTGTTGTATGAGTATTATTAAGAGATCGTGATAATAATTTTCATCCATTTTAATGCTAACTTTAATAATGCGAAAAAAACTAAAGGCTATAAAAAATTTTTTAATATGTTTATCACACATTTAATTTAACGTACTTTTGTTTCAAAATTTAAGGGTTTTACTTTTTTCCCACATTTAAAGGTCTTTTATTAACGTACATATATTTTAATTTCCCAGAATTCTATGCCAAAGTTGAAGTTTTTTTATATTTTTTATAAACAATTTTGACGGTTGCCTAAGAAATGTATGTATTATTTGAGAGCTTATTCGAGGGATACGAATGTGTATCTTTTACAAAAGCAAATTAACGCAAATAATGCAAATATTTTTGCGAAAATTTTCGGATTTTCGGCTTAACTTTTTTATATATCATAGAGGATTAAAAAAATATTAGGTTATTAGTGGGTAAGGATATAAGTGGATTTGTGGGAGTAAAAGGGGTTTGATATTGAAATCCCTGAATACACCAGTTTTGTTAACTTCCAATTGTACTGAAATTTTTACTCATGCTTTATTATTACTTTTATTTGTCACACGATCCGTATATAAATTAATTTGAAATAATCAAGCTAAGAAAATACCTAAATATAAAATCTTGGAAGAAAAAACTTGCAAATCGTGTGACATACATCAGTAAAAATCCAAAAATAGATTTTAAAATTAATAATTGTAAAATTTGAAATATTAGTTTGAAAATACTAAATTGTTTTAATAAAGCTAAGCTTTAAGAAAAACAACAACAATATGAATTACCACCATTGCCCGAAAGTCTTCCTTCTTATCACGGTAATTTATTTATTTATTATTAAGATAACATTAAGGACAAGCACATAATTACCAAAATTTTGGAATTGATCAACATGGATATCCTTTTGACCATCACTTCGGCCATCATTCTCAATATGCCTTTTCTGAAGAAGGTAATAAAACATTTCAATATTTAAATTATCTGTTAATATAAAATAAAGAGTATCAAAGACAATTGGAACAAGCAATGTTTGAGTCCACTCAAAATATTCAACCTCATTTTCAGAATCAAGGCCCAATAATTCGAGGCTTTTTAATTATTTAACTAATTTTTTTTTAATTTAAATAATTAAGAACCTCCTCAACGCCAAGAACAAGGACAATCATCAAACGATCCAAAAGGCAAAGTAAAGCAAAAAAATCCACGATTTCATTAAGAATAGATTTGTAATGTTATTAATATTAATCTTAATTATTATAATATTATATTTTTATAGGAAATTTACAGGGTGCGGCAAATTTAGCGCCGACTTTATTTTTTGAATAACTTTCTTCAAACTCAATGAAAATTGATAATTCTTTTTTTATTTGATTCCCAACACTCTAGGAAACTTTTTCATACAAAAATATTCTCTAAATGTTTTAAATTAATTTGAGAATTTTTTCTTAAAGTTTTGGCAAAAATTTTTGAACCAAAAGTCTTCTGATTTAAAAACCGCGTGTCTGATATTCAGGATGTTTATATCATTCGAATAAGCTCTTTAGTCTGATTCGAATGACGTAAGAACTAGGCGATTATCTTGTTCTTGGGCTGAGATATGAGCCTTTAAATGATAAATTTGGAACTTGATGTTAAATTTGACTTTTTTAGGTGAAATTTTCAAAAATCTAATTATAGACTATTTCGATGCCCCTCGTCGAGACGAGTCGATTGGTACCAAAATTAGTAAGATTGGATGACTTTGAACGAAGCTATGGTAAAGTAAACTGATTTTTAAATTTATTCAAAGATACAATCAAATTTTTATTTCATCGAAAAATTTATCTTTAAATGATTTCTTTTTGACTAAAAATTTTCAAAAAAACTTTGAAATTTAATTTCACATTTGTCATTTCCTTTTAAAATCTGTTTTGGCAATTCCCTGATAACGAGATAAACACAAAATATTTTTTTTATCTTTTTGTATGATTTTCACATAAAAACTGATTTGCACGATAAAATTCAAA